GGCGTGGCGAGGCGGCATTCTTCGTACCACGGTGAGTACGAGTTGAGTTTGTAACTCGCCGAGTCGACTCGTCTATACTTACAATGTCATTTCTGATGAATAAATGGTAAATCAATATCGAGACCTTAGAATTTTATTATAGATTCGTTTTTCGAGTATCTATTGGCGATGAAACTTAACTAATCGGAAGAATGAATAAATAAACACACATGCATATATGTTTGGGGCAAAATTAGGATTTGACTAGACATAAATTCATACAATGGAAATAAATAAAATAAAAATAGAATAACTGATGTCATTAAACAATATCTTTTTTATTGTCATAAACATTTTCCGAATCAAAGTTCTTTATAGTCTATTTCAGCAGGGGAAGTTGTGGACGTAGGATGGATGAATAAAATAATGAGGAGCAAAACAACATCCTAGAGCTCCTGCATATCTGAAAGTTATACGTTAGAGCATCATATAAGTCTATTCTCTAGAAGTCAAGAGTTTCGAGTCCACCAGAGCTCAGAATCCATGAAACCCAAGCAAGTCTCTATCTGTACGATAACTGACACTAAAGTTTCTTTTTTTCCATTTCACTACACTTTTGAGTAAAACACATGACTATATGAATTTATCTCTAGTTGAATCCTAATTTTCTTCCAGCAAAATCAGGATTTGAATGCTTCCCGAAAAAAGATCTTGTTCTGTATTGGAATTCGAGCTTTGACCAGGCAAAATAAGAATTACAATTTTGCTCAAAATATATATTTATCTATTCGATCTAGACCAGTCATTTCATTTTTGTAATTTTGTATTGTTTTTTTTTCAATTTATTCATATGTATTAACTGTACTTAATGAGATATAAAGAAATAAAAGATAGTAATTGTTGTAGGTGGCTGAGAAACTAACTAAAAGAATCTTTTTAAGATAGATACTAGGCGAGGCAGCAATATTCAACTCGCCAGTATGACGAGGCGGTGGCGACTCGTGTTTTTGACTGACTCGCGGATCTCTAATTTATATATCCAATTTTAGCGAACCTAAATCAGCTCTTCCTCGCAGAATCACCGGAGAGTCCCCATAAAACTGAGAAATCCCCAGGAGCTCACTGGGAACTCCATGAAAAATCCGAAGGGAGTGCCCGAATTCGACAGAGCAGTTAAAAAGTAAAAGCTTCCTGGGGGATTGATCAAGGAGTGCAGAAATGTATTCACCGTTTTCTTTTGCTCTTATGAAAATATGTAAGAAATTCAAAATTAGGAAGAAATTATTGTTTACATTTAACATCAAATTTTGCCCGAGTGATAAATATCATTTAGACTTCTACCTATGCCCTCTCAACGATAACTCATCATTTGAGATGATTTAACAATCACAGTAGCTGTCCACTGAGACGAGGCCTATTAAATGGCTTAAGTAGAAGATCCTCGTAGAATGAGATAGATTGAAAAAAATGGATTTCGGTTCACATGAAGCTACCTGATAATTTCTGTGTGACTTCCTAAGAAGTCACCAGAGAGTCTCTGAAGATTCGCTGTCAGAATTTCCCGGGGGGAGTTTTACAAGGAACTCCTGGGGACTTACTATATGGGGGAGTTGACTAGAGAATACAAAATGGAGATCAAACAAATATTTTTTCATGAATCTAACGAAATATAAGTTTTATTTTATTATTATTCCCATTGAAATAAATTCGATAAGATACCTTAAATAAGAAAGTATCTATAGTAATGATAAAAACAATTCTTGTTACTGTTTGTATTGTTTTTTCTCTAGTCTTATTGTGTTAGACTTTGAATCCAAGAGAAGTTTTCTCTCGTTTACATCTTAATCAAAAGCAACTCTATTTTGTTTTATGTGTTGTTTCAAATGTGATAGTACATCTCAATATGGATCTTATTTTCATACTTCAGATTGAAATTGTAATTTTTTTCTTTGTTATTTATCTTTGACTTTTTTACAAATAAATCTAACTATGTTTATTAAAAAACATGATCATATTGAATTTTGAAATTAAAGAAAAACATGACTGAAGTGAAATAGATTCTAGTTTTATAAAAGCTGATAGAAATCTGGTTTTAGATGTTTCATGTAGAAAATTTTCTTTTTCGATTTTAAAATGTTTATAATAAAAATTATTCAAACAATAATTTATAATAAAAATTAAAGAAAAAAAAGAGATTTGAATAATAATTATCTTTATTTCGACTGATTTTGGATTGTTGGCAGCCAATATGGATCAATAATTAATATAATTAAAGGTAAAACAATTGATAGAATCAATCCTATTACAATCACAATTGCAATAATTATTTGAATTTTTTTTGAGAACATTTTTGGTACATTATTTAAAGATTTACTATAGAAAAAATGAAATAATTGAACGTATATTTCAAATAAGAAATTTAAAGAAAGAAACTTGGAAAATTACTCGATAGTTATTGATATTTCACGTTGAATAGTCCAATCTGGATTCCAAAGAGATTTTGATTTAAATTCATTTTCATCAACGTCACTATGAAAATTAACAGCAGATGGACAAATATAAGGTAATGAGTGTTCTTCTAGTTCGACTTTAGTCATTGCTTCTCAAATGACAAAAGAAAAAAGAAAACAAACAATGAATGAAAGACTATACATTTATTTTTATCGCAATTCCAATAAACTTATATAACTCTTCAACTTATAATTAAATTTTTTTTCTTTCATTTTTTGATTAAGAAATAATAAACTGACTTTTTCTTTTCGTTTCTTTTTCTATTTTATCGTAAATAAAATTGAAACCTAAGTTTTCTTTTCATGTTAAACATAGAATGTTTCTTTTCTCCGAAAAAATTTCATCGACAAAATCAAATGCTATTTTATAAAAGAAAACTTCCTTTACTGAAACTCTTAATGAAAACTTCTGCCGAAAAGAAACTTTTCTATGAGTTTATGAGTTAGATTTTGAAGAATTTATCTTCTAAAATTTAAAAAATAAATCTATGAACAAAAATAAGATCAAGCTTTCTGTTTATTATATTTCTTTTTGTTAATTAAATCAAATAGTTTTTGTGGCTACTGTTTTTTTCTTTCGTTGATAGTCTTCAGAAGAAATGTTTCTATTTTTTCCTACGTTAACAAAAATATTTACTAAAGCAAAATCAGAAGACGATTATATGCAAATAAAAACAATAAAGAAAATTTTCAACTCATAAAAAAATGAATGGTCCATTTTTCCACAAAGACAATTCAATTTTCGACTTTCAGTTGTCTGATTTATAGAATTTACCGTTCATATTACTTTTTTTCTATGTATTTTTAAATGGACTATGAAAATTTAAAGATTCGACACATCACTTTATACATTTATTATTCAACTAAGTTGTTTTCTTACATAGAAATTTAATACAAATAAATTCTAATAAGAATTTTTTGTATGAAAATATTCTCGTCCAACTTTCGATTTCTATTTTTTCACAAAATCAAATTCTTTTATTAAATCAAACCTACTAGTCTAGAGTAATCTTTTAATATAGTTTCATTTTGTTTAAAGATTAATTCAAATTGAAAATATCAAGAATTTCTAAAGTAAAAAGAAAGATTTTTTCTTAGTAATGACTTGAATCGATCTGAAACGAGTCTTTGTAAGTTATTTGGATCTGGTCATAGTTTCAGCTTCTTCTTTTCAATCATATAGTTCGAAAATATGATTAGTTTTCAATCAAGAATTTTATTGAGTAAGATACTTATTATGTTAGTTTGAAAATGATAAAATCAAAATTTTAATCTGTTTTACAACTAATTGATTTCTGTTGTGATTATTTATAATAATTCAATAAATATTTCTCGCAAAGATTTTTTCAATTGCAATATGTTTTATTCTATGAACAAGAGTGACATCTTTTCAAATTATCAATCGTAAAAATATAAATCATCGTCAAATATAGAAAAACAAAACACTATTGTAAATAGCGAACAAATTAAGATTTCGATTAATAATAAATGTCTTAGATTTTGCGAGGAATTTTAGAATTGCTTGGCTATTTGAATGCACCAATACGTAACTCTATTTTGTATTATTATTTTTCTTTATTTTTTACAAATGTTTTTTTACTATACTTCATCAGATTTGTGTAAAACTTAAATGAGATAAGATAATAATACTCAATGGATATATATTTCGTACGCCATGGTGAAAGCACATATAATGTTAATCCATTAGATGATTCTATTGATTGTCCATTAACAACATTAGGAGTTGAACAATCAATAAAATTAAAACCTTGCTCATATCCAAATCATTATTCATTAATAATTTGTTCGCCTTTACGTCGTTGTATTGATACAATAAAATTATCAAAAATAACTTGTGATCACTTCGAAATAAATGATTTATTTCGAGAAATTCGTTCTGGCTCAAAATCCGATCTATTAAATGAAAATGAAAAAAATTTATTTGAAAATGAACAAGAAATAAAACAAAGAATTAATCAAATAAATAGTTATTTATTAGAAAAGAAAAAATTAAATATCTATTCAAATATATTAATTGTAACACATGGTGATTTAATTTGGAATTTAACTGCTTATCAAATAGATGATGATTTATTTGGAAAGTGGGTAGAGAATGCACAATTATTACATTGGAAAAAAATTTAATATTTTATAATTTTTGTAAGTTGTCTTTTACTTTATTCATTTCATATTTTCAATAATTATTTTCATGCAAGAACTAGTTTATAGAAAGTCTTGTCATGAAATATTTCTCATTAAAATCTCATGAAAAAACAAAAAATTTAAAAGAGGATAATGAAAGAAAATTTTATTTTTATTTGAAAACTTTTTTCCATAATTTTCAACTCTAGTCTTTTGTTTCTTGTCCATCAAACAATTCTCTAAGAGTTGTTTTTTTCCATCTAATCTGTTCAAATAATAATAATTTTCATTTTTAGATTATAGTGAAGACATTTCTAAGAAAGAAAATAAAAATTCAATATTCACACAATTTTTTGAAATATGATTATTAAATAATTAAATAATAAAAGTATATTTCAGTGGTACGTAAAAAATTTCTTATTATGATTATCTGAATATAGATTTATTTTAAATTTATTTCAAATTTATTCAGACTTATTAAAGTGAGCTTTTTTCAAATTTTTGTTTACTTAACTCAATTGAAATTATATAAATCAATTTTTTTATTATAAACTTTAAATACAGATTTGCATTCAAGATTGCAGTATAAAAGATGTTGAATTTAAAATGAGGAACTAAGGGAAAGAGACAGAATGAGAACACTGATGTATCATTTTCATTTCGAATCAAATCAAATATTCTATGTATTTATTAAAATATATTTATTTTTTATTCTAGGTTATAAGCAATCAATAAAATTTATTAAAAATTTAATTTTAATTTTTAATATTAAAATAAATACAAATATGCTTACCTTGTTTTTTTTCTGACTTGTTTCATTTTTTTACCTGTTCTCTTATTGAATTTAACCTCTAAGTGGAAATTTATTTAAATGAAAAAAAAACGAACTAACGAATAGCTTATCGAAGAGAAAAAAACATCATCGGAATATATTCTTTCGTAAATAGTTGATTATTGAAGGGTTCTATTTTTGGTTAATGTTATTGTTATATTTGAAATAAAATAAGAAAAAGACGACGAAGAAGAAGAATTCGAAATGACATCAAATAGAAAACATTCACTTATTGACACATTAACTATTGAGAATAATTTTTCTGATAATCATCAATCGAATTCCGAACGACGATGGAGACGATCAAGTATTGCAGTATTTCCTTGGGTGAGATTTTCTGTTCATTTTGCTTTCTAAATATAAAAATTAGTATAGACCTGTTTTTTTCTAATTGAATTTTGTTTACTTTCTATAGATGAATAAATTCAAGCCATTTATCTATGGAGCTAAGTAAGTCAACTGTAATTTTTAGTATTTTGTTTTTTTTAATTATCAAAACAACTTTCGTTGTGCTAATTTCAAATAAATGTTAGAAGACCATAATTATTTTATAATAGAATTCAAAAAAAGGAAGAAAAATAATTTAATCGAAATAAATAATTCAATCTATTTACCATATTTTAAGAGAAAAGAAAAAGGAGATTTTATAATGAAAATAAATCATTATCATTTTTACATAAGTAAATATGTATTTTAAGTTATTTATGTTACTTGAAAAATCAATAGAAATTTTATGTATACGGAAATACTGTTTCTTTCATGAAAATTGAGAGGAAAACTAATAATTATTATTATTTAAATTGAAAATATTTTTTATGAAATTTTATTGAAAAATTCTAACAAGAAAATTCAATTTTATTAAACAAATGAATAATAATAGGAAATAAATATTTTCTATCAAAATTGACTTGGCATTTTTCTCTCCGCCTAATAAGATTGATCTACTTATTATTTTAATTGAAAATAAACATAAAACATAAATATATGTAAATTGTTATCGATTATTTTATTGAGTATAGAAAAAATTTCGAAATCAAATAAAAGATTTTAAAGAAAACCAGAGAAGAATAAAATAAAGTAATATGTTTTTCTTAAATTTGTAATTTTATTTCGATTTAGAAATGATGATGTGCCTGATGGTTATAATCGAGTTCGTTATATAAGAGATTCTTGTAAAGTATTATCTGATCTTTGGAAAACTGATAAAGATTTTGTAAGTTAACTTTTTTTGGAGAACAATAAAATATGTTGATGAATTTATGTTTTTTTTCTTCTTTTAGCTAAATAAAAGTATTGATAATGATGTATCAAAATCATTTAAAGAATTTCGGCTGAGTGATGTTGCACGTTCATATCGTTCTCCATATGGAATAAATGGAAGTCCATCGATTTTAAATCAAACTATTGATGATTTAATTCAAATTCATGATTATATTGATATTAAACGAAAAGAATGGCTTGATCAATTAAAAAGAATTATTGAACAAGCAAGAGATAAACAAGTATAAATTTATTCAAATATTTTCGAATTTCTTTTTTTTATTCAAATTTCACTTTCGAATATTTTATTAGTCAAATATTCGTCAAACAATGATTGAACATCGTGATAATTATGAAAAAGCTCAACGAAAATTAGAAACAGCTGATTCAAATTTAAAAAAGTTTGTTGTTTTCTCTATTTAATTGTTAAAATTTAATTTCTATCAATTAAAAGATTTCAAACTCGATCTGATCGTTTAACAGTATCAAATTTTGATGAACGTTCTCGTGAATTAGAAGATATTCGTACAGAATGTGAGCAAGCACGAACATTATCACGTGATTTATATGCAACTGAAACATACAGATTTGCAAGTGAAGAACATCAAATAACAGTTGATATATTTTCAAAATATTTATTTGAACAAAACCAATTTTATAATGAAGTATCGAAATTTTTATCATCAAAAATGCCAATTATTGAAGATCGTTTAGAAAATGATGAATTAAAACCATTATTTGGTTATGATTTAATAAAACATTGTTCAAAAAGACCTGATATTTTAATAGCTTATCCAATTGAAATATGTATTCGATTATTAGAAAATAGTTTACGTGAAGAAGGTCTTTTTCGTCTTGCACCATCGCATGCAAAACAAAAAAAATTAGTTGCAGAACTTGATTTACAATCTATTGATAAAGCTTCAACATTAAATGAACTTAATTATGATCCACATGTTGCTGCAAGTACACTTAAACAATATTTAAGAGAACTTCCAGATTGTTTACTTACTAATGCACTTCTATCACAATGGAATCAAATTCCTGCATTGAAGTAAATACATTCGAATGTTTTTGTTTTATCTATATTTAAGTTTGTTATAAAAATTTAATTCTTCAGCAAAATAGATTTTTAAAAGAATATTTTAATTTTAATTTTAGCAGTGAACAAGCTCGTCTAGAACGAATTTCACAATTAATAAACCAATTACCTGAAATTAATTATCATAATCTTTGGTTAGCAGCGTTTTTGTTTTGTTTAGAACAACGAATAAATTCTTTTTTGTTCTTTTAATTTTAGTTATTTAGTTCGTTTCTTAGCTCGTGTTGCTGAATATTCACCTGAAAATAAAATGACACCAAGTAATTTAGCAATATGTATAGGATGTAGTATATTATATGGAAAAGATCAATCATTATCATCACCATCACATACATCAATATCAAATTCTTATACAGCTGCTTCAACCATTCTTGAATTAATGATTATTCATCATAAACTATTATTTACGAATTATTCTCAACAAGAACAAATATCAAAATCATTTAAATCTCAACCAGATCTTATTCCAACAGAATTTTATCCAGTATTAGTTTCATTTATTTATTTTTCTATAAACGCTTAATAAGATTTATTTTATTTTTCTAGAAAAGTCGAACTGTTTCAAATGAAAATTTACTAGAAGCTCCAAATTTGTCAGGCTACGCTCAACCGTATGTATTTATCTTATTTGAATTAATAGATAAAAATAAAAACGAATTCATTAAGATCTCCTGGAACGCGTCGTAAAAATAAAGCTCCTCCACCACCTCCATCATCTATTCCATCTCAATCGTGTTTATATAATCAACAAACAATAACTGGAGATATAAATAATGATAAAATAGCATCTGAAATCAATTCTAATGATCAACTATCAAATGAAAATTTAACAGGTAATCAAACAAAAATCGGTCAAGAAGAAAAACGAACAAAAATCCTTAACTCGATAAATATTGAAGAATCATCTTCTCAATCTAATCAAATCAAATTATCATCAAAAAGATTTACAGGAGGTTCTGTCGTTTTATTTTATGCTAGCTTTCATTCACACACCTATATCTATGTCAATATTTCTTCTCTTGCTTTAATTGTTCGTTTATTTGTTATAAATCTAAAAGCATAATTTTCGTTCGCTGAATAATATGTCTAGAAGGGAGACAACAAAAAAGACATCAATAGCCATCTAACTTTGGTGATTCGATCATTATTTATATTTGTCAATTTCATTTTTCACAACAAAAAGCAAAGAAATGAAATAAAATAAAATTTTTATTATTATTTTAGTGACAAGCTCATCAAGTTTTAGTCCGAGTGATAGAATTCATCGACGTACACCAAGTGGTGGAACACAATTAGATCGTCCAGGAGCTCCACCGCCTCTTCCACCATCAGCTGTTCTTGTTTCTTCGCCGATTTTTCAATCGAAACAAAGAATTTCATTTCCATTATCAAAAACGAATTATGAACAAGAAATTAGTTCAAATATAGAAGAAAAAACAATTGAAAATGATTTATCACAAGATTCACCAACTGTTCGAACAACAACAACAACAACAACAACAACAACAGCAACGACAGTAACCAATGATGGTGTTAATGTTGGAAGATTAATTTTAGAATTAAATAATCGAATGGCTGCTGCAAAAACAAATAATAGTCAAACACCAAATAATATTCGTGCGTCTTCTATTCGAAATAGCACATTATCTTCACCTGGAGAAACAACTGATTTCTAGTCTTTTATCATTTCCGGTGCTATTCACACATTATTCATAATGACTAACTGAAAACAATTTCATTAATTATAATCTTTTCATTTCATTTCTTTTCGGTTTCTTTTTTAAATTTGATCGCTTGTTCTATAAATATAAATCTATACATTTGTACTATTCCTAATCAAGTGAAAAATAAAACGATTAAGATTTTCTTTTCTTCTTCAACTTGATTTGTGAAAAAAATTCGTGTAGCTATCGATAAATAAATATTTTTAAAAATCAAAGGATGCTCATGATATTGATTTTCATTTTCTGCCAATCGGGCTAACATTTTCTTTCACTTAATCATCGATGAACTACTAGATTCGTATTTATCAACAATAGTCAGATAATCATATTCAATAATTAGAAGTAATTTGTTGCACACGAAAGAAACTTAGATTAAGACTTTGTAGAAAAAAAGCATTTTGATTATTTCGCATAATATTGATTTTTTAATTACATAAAGTTACACAATGATAATGAAAGTTATCGTATGATTTATATTACTTTTATTCAATTATTCTACTAAAGTATAATCCCGATTTATTGTTTCTTGCCTTAGATTTCCTTGATTGTCTTCATCTTCTCAATTTTAATGGTAATTTTAAAATGATATATGAATATCTAGATTGATAAAAAAAAATATACATTCCCATCTGTTTGCTGATTTAATAAAAACAATTTCTTTTTTATATTCATCATTTTTGTTTTATTTACAAAAATTAATTTTTCTTCGTTAATACAAAAACTATATCGAGTAGAGTAAACATAATTACGTAGAATCTTTTACGGAAATATGTTTTTTTCTAAACCATATTTAATGAAGTTGACAAGAAAAATATATGTAAATAGAAGAGAAATTATATATTTACTGGACTAAGCGTTTGTTTGTGAATAAATAATGTCTAAACTTAGAAGAACTTTACTCTTGGTTATTAATCTTTATCATTATAATATTTCTGTATGTCTTCGTATTTATAATTATTGATTTTATCCAGTACAAGAATATAAATAAGATTTATTTAATATGATGGAAAAAATCATGAAAAGATTAATGTATATTCATTATAAAAGAAATGAAAAGTTAATGGTAACTATTAAAAATCTTGTTAGTAATGGAAAACAATTTTGTTATATCAGTAAGTTGAAATATTCTACAATAAGAAACAGAAATTCTTATGAGAGATACTTCATTTTCTATCGATTTATAAATATATTATTTTTGTTTAAACTGAGAATTTATCTTTTTTCCCAAATTTCTTTTGAAGTCGTAGTCAATATTTATTGAAAAGTAAAATCATTTGATGAGTTTCAAATGAAAAATATGTTTGAATTATATTGATAAATATATACTTAAAAAAGTAGTATGATTTTGGTTTATATCTCTCAAACATCTTCGTAAATTATCTATTTAGTATTGTGAAAAACTTCTATTATGCTTTGTAAATTTCCTTGAATTTGTAACATGTATTAATAATATTATATTAGTCCCTATCATAATATGCACATTCTAATAATGTTCAATCAAACAAAAATTTATGAAAATAATGATACACTCCTTATTTATCATTGAACTTCAAAGAAAGTTTTATGTGTCGATCAAATATTTTTAAATACTTTTTGTTTTCATATAAATATATTTGATAATATTCAGAAATTTAAATTGATATTTTAGAAACTTTTCATGATAATCAATAGAATATAAAGTGAAGATTTGTTTAATTTTTGAAATAAACAATAACTTAAATCTAGTCAAAAACGTAAATTCTTAAATGAGTAATTATCGAAAACATTCAAATGAGTGCCAAATGATTTATTATTTATTTCAAAAATTTTTCAAAATTTTTGTTTATTTCTTCTTAATATATTAAGATATTTTCTGACGAATTTATTTGTCACTTGGTTAAAATTAGAAGTTTAATCTATAGTTTCTATAGTAAATCAAACTAAATATATATAACGTTATATTCAAGTGAAAAACTCAATATCAAACTTTAGAGTTATCGAATGCAACACGAAAATGAAAGCACAAGTTTCATTGAGGCAATCTTGTGTAAAATCAAACAACGGTAAAATAAGAGCCAATACAATAAATAATGTCAAACTCAACGACTGGAAAATGAAAATTTATTGTATGAATTAGATAACAGTTAGACAAAGAAATATGGTTATTTCATGATAATCGTTTTATGAGATAGTTTCAAAACTTTATCTCTTAGAAAATTTATTGATTTTTATTTACGTTTTCAGAAAGATATTTATAGGAAAAAAAAAGAATCATTTGATACCAAACTAGTGGTGAGAAGCAGTATTTAAAGCATTTTCTATAACCAGATCTTCAGCTGAGTATAATTATTCCAAACAATATTTGTACGATTTGTATCACGAAGTTTAGGCGTATTTCTTAATAAATTGTTAACACATTTCTGCTGAACCAATAATTTGTCAAGACCATGAAAACCATCACGTCGATAACTACTACCTTTGTTGATAATAATTTCAACGAGTTGTTCAAAATAGGTGACAAGTGATATAATTAATTCTGCCAGATTTTCATCAGGATGTAAACCGCATCTACTGGTCCACAGAGAAACGAGTCGTGGAAAAGATTTCGATAATATAGAAATGTCGATTAATTTTGGTAAACTTATAGATTCTAGAAAGAGAAAAAGAGAGAATAATTGATTATTTCAATTTTACAATAAGTTCTCAGCACTGATGCAGCATTACCGATCTCCAAAAGAAAAATCACAAGTACATTGTTTTTTAATTAGTTAATAGTTTATGTGACAATTGAATCTCACGAGATATGATGGTTTATATATTAACCTCTGAATATAACTATTGACGATTAAATCTTCTTAAGTCATAGAATCTCATGTATAAGAAGAGATGTTTACAAATATTCTACACGATTAATGCGGTGCGAAGCACAGCATTTATGGAGTCTGACGCAAGTTGTTTTTCCTTTTTAAAGTGCATAGTAGCGGTTCTTCATAAAAATCAATGTGTCAGTAAGTTCTCTAGACTATAAGATTAGTTTACTTAAATATGTCTGATGCTTTAGAAATAGCAAAAGTTGTTATTTACCGTATCCATTACAAACGTATAAATGCAGATGACGCAAATTCAGAAGAGGTGAAACAGCAAAAAGTCCACTGGCAAAAACTGAATCAATACTCATGACGTGATTCCAACCAATAGTTAAATCCATCAGCTGAGGTGCTGCTGAAAGAAGCAAGTAAAGAAAAGGCAATTGTTGTGATTTCAAAAGAAAGTTATGATTGACAAAGAATGTAAGCGATCGCAGTTTATCCAGTCGGAATTGATTGAAGTGTGACGAAAGGATGATAAGTCTTGTAGCAGCCTATAAATATCAAAGCACATTAATATCAATATTGAAATCTAGTATAAAAAGTACCTTTTATTTTTTTAACATGCTCTAGTTTCTCCCACCTGATACATGTGGAACAAATTTTTTTCTGTATACTTTGACTTCTGAAAACTCGTTCTCAAAAGCAGAACAAAAGATCTAGTAATATCAAAAAGACAAATGTCTGATGACTAAAGTACTAAATTATATGCAGCTAGATACCATATTACAACTCAAAGTTCACTCTATCATTTAACGTAAACGTTGTGTCAAAAACTGAGATATCGTTCTGATTTAGTTTTGTATATTAGTCAATATATCAGTTTATATTTCCTGGTCATTTTTTTACTTTAGTAAAAGGTCGAACATTCTCTCAATATACAATGCTAATCTTTAGAAACACACTACACATCAATTTTCCAAACAGTAAATCGATAGGCATTCATTTTTTAGATTTATTCCTACTAGCGTGAAACATTTTGTCACATGGGCATAAATTTCTTCAGCTTGTTGAGCAAGAAAGTGAAGTGCTATGAACAAACCTTGTAGTCTATATATTTCATGCACATAAGATAACAATTCTATGTGAATAAAAGCAGTTTAGAGTTTGACTAACTTTCCAGATCAAATATCTTTCTGCTGAAGAAAAGTTCGACTTGCAAAACGAGATCTACTATCTTTTAATCACGGCATCATAAAATATTTTTTTATGCGCGTAATTTTCGTGAGTTTCTTAATTCGACAAATCTCAGGGTTTGCACATGTCAACAATGCGAAAACAAGTTCGACTCAGATAGTTAAAGTACAGAAAGAATGTTGAAATAGAAGTGAAGTGAAAAATAACTAAATTTGTTCGTTTTTCTCGGCATAAAATCAGATTAAATCATAAAAAAATAATCTCTCAATCCTACTTCATTCACTACGTTAACGTACATTTTGGAGATTAGTTCCACCCCAACGGCCAATTGACAATTTCTTTGTCGTTTTAAACTTTGACAAAACATTGAAAATTTCTTCTGAGCTTTTAATATGATCGCAAGTCCATTGAATCGATGATGTTGATGGTTCTTGTTTGAGTTTCATTGCAATAGAGTGATTGTGTATGATTCGATGGTAAGGTAGAGGTGAACGAGTGAAAATAAGAAAAGAATATTTCTTTGGTAGTGATGGTAACTTTGAACGATAATAAGTAAGACAATGTAAACGCTGCTCTTCAAGACAATAATCGATATTGTTAGCTTCAAATGGCCATTCAAAGTTACAATGTCTATGCCATTGGCACTCGAGTTCACCAGGAAAGCGAAGAAGAAATCGAAGACACGATGGACGAAGAACAGGCATATTTTTCTTTGACTGAAAATATTTTTGAAAATCGATAAGACGATTGAATGCTAAATTCAAAGAAAAAATGCCAATAATTTAAGAACAATTCATGATTTTTAGTTGAACAATTCATAGAATGTCTGATGGTATTTTTCAACGCTTAGACACTTTATGTGTGATCTATACATTTCTGATATTGATTATCAAATCCTAACATAAAATAGATGCCATTTCCTTTTCGACAAATAAAGGACTATAGCTATTCTTTGTCAAGAAAATTTTGAAAAATTGCAATTTTTTATTCTCTATTATGATAAACTTAAAGTTCCACTTTTATATGGAAGATTGAATGAAAACAAATTCAGTTGTCAAAAATTCTTCTTTGAAAATTATGTGACAGCTCAATTCAGATAAATTTTATCATAAGAGATGATATTTTCCCTACTTGAAATTCAACTACTTATGGTACTATAACTCGACCTGATCCGACCTGAGTGAATTTGAAAAGTTGAATTCGTGCAGAAAATAAGTTATACAGATACAAACCAGTGTTTACACTTACTTTTATCATGAATTTCAATCAAAGTCAACTTTTCAACTAAAGGCATGTGTACCAATGATAAAAATGTCAGAAGATCGTCTAGTGACATGTAGCTGAGCTTGAGAGAACGTAAACGACTTACAATATTGGTAACATTTGTCACTTGGATATCATTTAGAATATTATGTTTCGTTTGTTTCATAAAGGTGATACAGAGATGATCAAGAACAGGTAATAATTGAGTATCAAGAAGAATAAATAGATCACTTAATCGTCCGATAAAGAGTGACAAATGAACAGTATTCGGCAAATGCATTGTTTTCCATTCATATGTATCGAAATACCAGTCGTCACTGATGCCATCTAAAAGAAAAATAAAGATCTATATGAAAATGTCTATAATATCAAATATCAAATAATGACAACTATCTAGATTCTCATTTTTTTTCTTTCTATGAATAAAATATTTTCGATTTAACGACATTTGTCGATTATCAAATTTGAATTTGTTAATACAGCTCAAAAAATTTGAAAATAACATTCTTATCAGTTAGTTAGTCTTTGTCGAGAATAGACTAGATTAAAGTGTTGTATAAAAAAATCCAGATAATTTCTATCACTATTTTCTATTTTAGAGTGACAAAAATGATGTTTACATTCACTAAGCATCAATCGATTGTACTCAATTAACTGACTTTATCAGACATAAAAATTATATTAAGTATAATATTGTTGTGAACATCACATCTACTAATCGATTGTTATTTAACTAACTTGACTTTTGAAAAACTCCTTGATTTTATAGTTTATCTTAGATACAAGCAAGAAGCAAATAATATTTATAAACTATATAATAAACTTACCGACTTCGACATCAAATACCATACTGTAGAACGAGAGTTGATGATCAGTGAAAGTATTAAGCATTTTCAAGTACGAAGAACTGCGTATAGGCGTACCAAATGTGAAATGAATATAGCGAAGTGATGTTGACAATGGAAGTAACGCTTCTACTATGTTAATTCGCCTTATGGCTCCTTCTGTCATATACAATCGACGAAGTGAAGGAAATAAACGTGAAAAAGAGGTATTGATGGAAGAAAGCTGTATTAGAGAGTGATGGTTGTTGCAAAGTGCATCACTAGCAAGTGTACCACAAAGACGAATAGTATCGATTGAGGAGAGAAGATATTTTGACCAATCATCTTTCCCTTCAAGTAGTTGACACATATCAGACAAACGAATGCTACTGCTATCGCATTGAGATGTATCGAGAATTGGACGTGGAGACATGGCAAAAACTAAACCATTAATACGATGATTGAGACCAACTAGCGCTCGATAAAGATCGATTGATGAAAGGAAGCTCATAAATAATAACCAAAGTTCATTTGGCAACCATTCAATAGATCTTGGTGTTATCACCATTGTATTGAAGAAAATATCCTTGAGAAGACTGTTTATTCTATATATGCAATTGTGTATCAACGATTTTTTCCGACAATAACGAATAATGAAAACAACTGACTAAAGAAAAAATGTAACCGTCTATCTTTATGCTTGATTGTGTTTTTTTTCAACGTTCTATTTCATTCCTTTTTTTTTGCTCACGTGTTGATGGACGGCAATAAGTCGTTTATTATAAGCGGCCACGGACGTAATAAATAAATGCTCATTCAAAAAAAAAAATACGTGTTTCTTTGACCGAATGACACTTGTCAATACTGTTCACTTTCTATCAAATTGAAGCTATAGTCACTTTATGCTTGTTAGACATTTTTTTCTTTCCTATACCGTTGTAATGCCGTGTTTTTAATTATGTTGTGATTATTTTTTATTTTTTTGTCACAATAGAAATCGAGAGTTTGCATGGTTTAGAAACCTTGAAGATTTTACGTATTTCATCAGAGCTATTCATTCGTTTATTACTGATCTAATTACAAGATGATTGTTTGAGATTTTTGTTTCTTCCACACTTTCTTGTATCTACTAACTTGAATTAGTTGTTAAGTTTTTGAATCAATATGATCTTTGTGCGATCAGTGTTTATTTTCAAATAAAATTTTCGCATGATTTTAACTGTTACTGGTTTTGTTTTTGTAATATTCTATTCGCATCTCAAATAAATAATTCAACAGTGATCTAATACAATGAAACTTATATTTTATATAATTGTTCGTAAGATTGGTCTTATCTAATTGTGAATAACAACTTTAGTTTGTAAATTAGTCCCTGTTATCATTATATTGTCCTTATTTTATTTTAATACTCATTATTATAAATAAGATATTTGGTTTAATAAAATAAAATACAAGATAAATATCATTTCCTCAGACAAAAATAAATATCAAGAAAAAGAAAGCTATGCGAAATAAACCTGGAAATAGCTTTCATGATAGAACATCGATTTCAAAAACTGGATTTTTGTATTCGACAAAAAAATCATCTTATTATTATTTCTCCCAATACGTGATGCTGAAGAAACTGATTCTTAGGTGTCAGCGTAGTGTAATATTATTTCGATACTCGTTTGGGCTCTTCTCTTTTTTCTCGATATTTAGATTAATCTATTATCATTCTTTTCTCAAAAAATAAGTCTGTAGATGCTTAACACAACTCGGTATAAGAAAATATCGATAAATTTTGTTTTATTATATGCTTAATCAAATAGATAAAGACATACATCAAAAACATCTAATTCATATTTAATATATAAAAAGAAATAAGTAAGTTTTTTATTTATCAATTTAAAGATAGATTATAAGATTTAGTTTATAATAAATAAATGTCATGTCAACGAAAGCATTAATCATATAAGATGGAGATACAATAAACTAAAATTTCTATAAAATAGATAAAAATCAAATAAGTATTTACATTTGATTTATAATATATAACATTTATCATACCCGAATAAAATTGCTGACTTTCAAAAAAAAAGTACATTTGATGGAGAATTTTGCTGATAGATAAACATCTACTTTAGACAAGTTGATTCATCGAGATCTTCGAAATAGCGCGAGACTCATTATTTAGCGTTTTCACTTGTTGACTTATTAGAAAGAAACAGATTGAATAAAAACCACTCGTTTGGTTCTTTGCGTGCATGTATGTATCATTCGGTCGTTACATCATTTTCTTTAAAAGAGAATAAAGAGAATACTGATTCTCATTCTTCTTTTTGTAATTATTTGATAAAAGGACAACGGTAACTAATTACCGTTCTATATCGTTCACTTTATATAAAATATTTTTAAAATTATGTCAGCCTCTATTTGCAGCGAAACAAACATATCATAAATCAATTATTAATAACAATTACAGAATTATTTCTTTATGTTTGTTTGTATAGTTGTTCTAACAACAACAACAACAAAAAGCAAGAAAAACGTTTCGTATTTAAAATCTTTTAGTCTCATACCGACTCAATAAGGTTAAATTATAAACAACTGGTAAAGCTTAGCAGATGGTCATAACCTAAGAAATGTATCTTCTATACTTTTTCCAAATAATTTTAAAAAGATAGATTTTTCTAAAAAGAACAATAGATCTTTTGATGAATACTTTTCTCTTTCTTTCTAGCTGGAAAAATGATTCCTTTCTTCCAGAAACAGGTTTCGATAAATATCTTCTTGTTATTTTAATTAGTTATCGCATGTGTACGTAAAAAAAAGCAACTTTAATATAATGTATTCAGAGCATCTGCAAAACAAGCCATTAATCATCACAACAAAATCAACTATTTGTTGACAGATCATGTTATTTTAAATTAGAAGTTTGCTTACTTCATAGAGAGGAATATTCTGCAATCTTCTATTGTGATGCACTAAAGATTTTTATTGTCTTTCTGTGTATAAACATCTACACATTCGTTGATGCATTTGATGCAGTCGTTGATGGAATAAAAAAAAATACTATTAAATATAAATAGCTCAATTAGTAGCTTATGATTTTTATTTCAAATTCATAATATAGATAAAACAATTATCTTTTCAATGGAATATAAAATCAAACTCATCATGGTTTCGCACATGTTTCAAGATAGTATTCGTATTACTTCAGATGTCTAATCTTTCAATAGTGTTTCATTTCCCATCAAGGTTGTTTTATTACTTTCTTTAGGTTTCTTCACTCAGCTGAATAGATTGTCTTTGATTTTGTTTTAGTACTTTGAGCTATTCAAACTGGAACCAAAATGACAACATCATTCGGTTCAACTAATTCTATCTGTGGATGCTCATCTGTCGTAGCGGCGTAACCAGGATTTTGACGATGGTGGGGCTCACTCGCTAAGGCTTCACTCGTTGGAGGAGCTCATAATGAAATTTAGCTAGAGGAACTTTGTTGGGTTGTTGGGCTCAAAGCTCCAGTGGAGGGACTGAGTCCCATCTAGTCCTTTCATAGTTACGCAGCTACTGTTTTCTTTATTTCTTGATCGCTGCATTGTCATGTTGTTATTAATATAAGAAGAATTTTTCATGTCTTTTTCATTCATTGTTGATCTTGATATAAATTGATCATTTGGTGTTTTCTTTCTTTGAATCTCACATTGCCTTCTAATCGAAATCGATTATACGTATGAGTTTTTATTCTGGTTTCTTCCTTTCGTTGTCATGCTTACAAGACCAAGCAACAGAAAAATTCGAATACTGATCAACGACTTTGACGATGCTGATGTGCATGAGAAAAATGACTCAAAAACGGCGATCTATTTCTTTTATTGTTAGTATAGAAAAAACTTCAGTCGATGGACAGCTTTCTCATTATGTTTTTACACAGTAAAAATTCAAAGAATAATTCAGTTTCCAATTATGATGAGTATTTAGCAAAGCTTTTTTCTGTTGACCTCATCAAAATATCGAGTATTGGGTGCAACACTTTTGTGTATTATTCTTTATCAATACTAGCGTGTGTTATCAGTATAATCATCAAGTTGGGATCACTTTTTAAAGTGAACATTGATCTTATGTCAATTGTGTTTTATTTATTCAACTACACATAATTGTGGTTGGTAATAACACTATGAATGGATCTAGAGTTTCTTCGATTACTGGACTTAAAACGACAGCTACTTCTGACAACAATTGTTAATGCATTTTGCAAAGAAATATTTAGCAAGATTTTTAACAACATTCTTTTACATTCTAGATGAAACAAAGACTATATTAATTACTTTGTTTAACAGTGAATGGTTTAAACAGAGCTGAGTTTCAATCAAAAGTGTATGCATAAAAATTTCAATAGTAAAATAGACATAGCCCGGTATGAGGAGAATCCAACGAAAATAGAAATGTTTGTTCTTTCAAAATCATTTATATCTTCAAATCACCATTCTTGCGTGAATCATCCCGTTTGATCTTTTTGTCAGAACAAAACCTCAACCGTTATCCTAACGATTGATTTCGATAAGCAAAATTTGCAGTAATAAACGATAATCAATCATGGGAGCAAGAAAAGTTGATGCTCAACGTCTATTTCAATCAATACGTTAGTATACCAAAGGTAGGAGGAACTGAACGTCTTTTACAATAAAAATCTTGGTAACCCGACATTTCGTCGCAAGCGAATTAGTCGCGAATAGTTTGTCGCGATGAAAGAGAAAATTTTAGTTGTACATCTTGTTTGTTCTTTCCATTACGCGACGAATTGTCCTGCGATAAATTGTTTTAGTACCAAAACACTTTGGAACAAAATCCAATAGTTGAGAACGCTTATATTATAATACAACGTATTTTTTCTTTCTCTTCACCTATGCAGACGTCTTAAATAGTTAATACACAGCTTCCATGGATTTTATTTTCGCAACAAGGAACGGATCATCCAACTTGTTATGGAAATAACGTTTTACTTATTATGAACATTAACAATGATTAATTTTAAATAGAAACAGAATACAGATATACACAAGCAAAATATGCAAATTATTTCATGCAAACAGTTGGAATTAATGCCAACATTGTATGAAGTTAGCTGTCTAATATTCAACATTATCATACTGTCGAGTTATTATTATTCAAACATAACTGATAACGGAGATTTTCACTATAGAAAGCGATGGTTAGAAAGGTGAAAGGAAGAGAAAAATTAACTATATTCTAAAAGAAAATTCTGATGTGAAATTTTCACTCATCAGGGTCATTGGATAATTTCATCTTTTTTTTCACAAACTTTCTCCATGAAAATAGTCGCTGATTATATTTATTTCTTGAATACTACGTTCAAAAGACAAATAATATAGTAGTAAAATAATAAAATTGAACTCAAATTTTATGTAGTCGTATAGAAACTGATTCTGTATAATATCGACTGATGATTTTGTTTGCAATTTGTCTTTTCCTATTATCAATTTCTCTTTAATGATTATTGTATTGATAAAGATATTTGAGTTAATAAAAGAAGAAATAGAATGATGAATATGATTTTATTAAACTAAATTAAACGAAACAGGAAAAGAAAGAATTATGAAAAGTGTAAATGAACAATCTCATTTTTTTTTCGACAATGTATGTATTCATCATAATTACGTGCAGCACGTATGACACATGGAACATGTGCTGGATGACATGTTAGAAAAAGAATAACCCCTCGACAATAAACTATATGAACAAGAAAATTCAATGCGGATTGATTGCTTGTTTTTTTTTAAAGGATAAAAATATCAACACGTTGTGAAAATCTGTCGCATGCGATTTTATTGTATTAGAGTTTCATAATAAAGGACAATATCAAGAAAGATAATTGTATGAAAATAAATTACGATTGAAATCACCATAGAATACCTAGTTACATACACAATAGATGAAGAAAAGAAGGAAAAAATAGTCATCATATATATGCATTCTCTTTCTTGTTCTATGTGCAGAAATAACCGGTTTGTTAAACATTAGAGAACAATGAACAACATCAGCAAGTGTTCAACTATGGTTGTATTCGCATTCACTACTATTTTTTTTACTGAAAGTGAAATCGAAAAATAAAAGTGAAAAATACGTTTTTTGCAGATGTCAAAACAATTTTTTAAATTTCTTTATATTCACGTATTAATATATATGTATATATCTGTCTCTGTTTCTTTCTGTTAATCTCTCTCTCTCTGTCTCTCTCTGCCTTGCGTCAAATAAAAAATAACAGTTGATTTCTTTTTTAATTAATTGTTTGACTGTCTAATCATTAACTAATAAATAACAATCTATTCTTCAATGCCATATTTGCATTTTAGACGTTTCAATAAAAAATTATTCTTAAAAAGAATTCGTGAATAAAATGGCATCACCACCAACAAGAATATACAATGTTCAGATGGATCAGTATGCCTATTCTTCAACTGGCGAACTAGGTTCAAAGTTTTTGGCACCATGTGTAGCAATAGTAGTAGTGTTTACGGATAATACTGTGATGATCGAGCACAGATCAGATCCATTTTTATATAACAAACGTGACAAGACCAAGAGAATTTACGAAAACGACGCAATGAATTTATTTGAAAATATCGTAAAAAATATTCGTAAATTTAAGCGAAATGATTGTGTTGTTCGGTTAGTAAGTTTTCATATAATAAACAGAAACGAGAAATTCTTTTTTGATATTCATTTTTCTAAATTCTAAAACAAAAAAGGATAAAACAGAATAAAAACAATTTTGGTTAATCTTGATTAATATTTGAAAATTTTTGCACGCTTTTGTTCTACAAATAAAAATAAAAAACTAATAAAAAAAAAGGAAACTTATTTACTTGATTCAAATATTGTTCAAGGAGACTATCTCATGAAAAATTTTGTTGTATTGTAAATTTAGACATGCATTTATCGTGGGTGGTTGTGAAGATGAGGATGTTGATGATGATAAAATAAAAACCAAATTTGAACAACTATTAATACAAATACATGCTGATACTTTAGACGACGAAGAAGATGATGCATCTGATTCACCAGATACTCATTTAGTTTATGAATTAATTAAAGCTATAAAGGTGCTAAAAATTACTTGGTCGGTTAACGGAAAATCAGTGTACGGTGAAAATGAACCATACATTTATTGATATAGCAATTGCCAGATATCATCAAGATGATGATGTTTATTTTTTTCTTCGTCAATGTGTAAACCTGGTTGATGACGATACTGGAAATAAACAGAAAATTTGTTGTGGAGTTTTAATCCACAAACTAAATCATATGAATAGCAACACGAAAAAAAATATACTTTTATCAACAAATGTACAATTTTATATACCAAATAATTTGGTTGAAAGATTCACAGGTATAGTTTCGTTAGTTCTTTTCATCAGTACATTCTCTAACGCTCCCATTATGTTTTCAAGTATTCTAAACTAGGCGAAGCTATTTAAAGTGAAAAATATTACCTTTTTTTTCTACCGATACATCATTGGTAACAAAATTTCGACTATAAGAATTATTTTGTTATGTTTTAGTCGAAAAAGATTTAACAATTATTAATGATTCCATCACCAAATTTGTTAACAATATGACTTCTTTAAATGCTGTATCATCTAACACAAATAATGATTCATTTATTACTTCAATTGAAGAAAATGTCTTCAACCGATTGAATGATACTATTTCAAATGATGTCGTTGTTAAAAAACTGTGCAAGGATTAGATAATTATCATGTTTCTTTACCCAGGTCGAGCATTACGACGACTAGATACGGCCATAAACGGCCGTTTACGATGACGTATACGGCCGTATACGCCGAATTTACGACCGTATAAGGGCCGTATTTTAACGTTTTGGTATGCGCCGTATTACGGCCGTATATCGCCGTGTCGTATACGGTAGTACACCCCAACCGTTTCGAACCCGTGTCCGACCGTGTACGGCCGTATCATAAACAGGAAACGGCCAAATACTGCAACGTAAACGACCGTACCAACGTCGTGACCGACCGTATACGGCCGTAATTCTGAAGAAACAAAAATACATTCCTAAACCACACTGATCAATAGTGCGCACACTGCAGAAATCAATTCTACTACATTTCCATAGGAATCACTCAAACCAAATGCAAGCACCAAAAAAAACCTACTAAAAATCACACAAAAATAAGAGAAATCATACTTCCAACAGATCTTGTCAGAGCACTCTCTATAACCTATCAAGCTAGCCCGCATCGAAAGTAAACTCCATATGATTTTCCGCGTGCCCAGCAACAGAGATCGTGAGAAATCTGAAAAATACAAAAAGCATCAAAGAAATCCTGCAAAAATCACCTTTCGAAGGAAGCATCGTAGAGAATCGTGGAAAGCAGCATTCAATAGCCAGCATCAAGAGATCCACATTGGGAGATTTCTGCTCCATTCTGCAACAGGGATCGTGAGAAATCTGAAAAATACAAAAAGCATCAAAGAAATCCTGCAAAAATCACCTTTTAAAGGAAGGATTAGTGAAGATTGTGAGACAAAATACGAAAAATCTGATATAGGGTAATAAAAGTAATAGCATGCTTGGAAGTGGTTGAAAAATTTAGAAGAAAGAGCGGAATCTGCTTTATGTTTGTTACAGAATTGGATCCTTCCGATGGTAGATGTACCTATAAAGATTGTTTTTTTCTTATTTTAGTAGATTTCTTCAGTAGCGTTGAACTGGAATTCGATATAGGAATATGTTCAGTATGGATTAGCTTCTAAGTTTATCTCGGTTGCAAGGGAAAACGAGGTTTTTGTTCGATTTAGTCGGAAAGGTCTAGTGGAATTTCAAACTGAGGTAGATAGAAGGCTTCTGGAGGTTATTGGGAATCTATCTATACTGCTATCTGTGGTGAAGATGTATTGGAATTCTTGTATATTGTACATTGCGGTAGTGCAGTTTCCGAACTGCTGCTGAAATCGTGAAAAAGTGTTTGATGCTGAAATTAGTTTTGCTCAAAGTCTGGTTTTTGATAGAAACCGGCTTTGGCGAACTTCAGATCCAACGCGACACTGGAATGAAGGATAAGTAGCATGATGTGAATGAGTTTGAAAAGTTACGGAGGCTGAGAAATGACTTCGTGGACTTAGTAATATTTGATTGAAAGGAGGGCACGTCATCTCTTCTGTCCTTACCCATAACGTTTTTAGATGCTGAAATCCTGCTTTTGGTTTTTTGTGTAAAAGTGATCCGTAAGTGATTGGCTTTGTCGCAGATGCTCTATTAAAGACGGAAACAGATGATTCATGAAACTTCTTTTGATAAATGATGAAAGACTGAAGAATCCGGAAAATGTGTCAGAAATCCGAAGCAGAAATCATAGAAATAATACAGGAGCTCTCTGATTATTGTGGAGTATATAGTTTTGCTTTCTGAATAAATTTTTTATATAATTGTGTTGATAGAGAGTAAGCTTTAACGTTGTTCAATATAGTAGCCAGACCTTGCGTCACTTTTGTGCTGTAACGCTGACAATTATTTATCAGTTCAGGCAATATTTCTTGGTGTTTCTATGATTTTTTCATGTTTACCATATATGTTTCAAGTAGAGGATATGCTTGACGTAACATGCTTATCCACCNTAGTTTTGCTTTCTGAATAAATTTTTTATATAATTGTGTTGATAGAGAGTAAGCTTTAACGTTGTTCAATATAGTAGCCAGACCTTGCGTCACTTTTGTGCTGTAACGCTGACAATTATTTTTCAGTTCAGCCAATATTTCTTGGTGTTTCTATGATTTTTTCATGTTTACCATATATGTTTCAAGTAGAGGATATGCTTGACGTAGCATGCTTATCCACCTTATGATTCTGAGTAATAGGAAGTTGTGGATGAATTATGATTTATTCGTTTTTTCTAATTGTATGTTCATTATGACTAAAACTTAGAAAAAAATCTGACTTCAATGATTCCGTGAGCCATTAAAAAGTAGAAAAAATTGGCACCCTAGTCAACTCTCCCTAGAAGAATCCCCAGGGAGTCCCTAGGGATTTCGTTCTTTTACGGGGACTCCCCGGGGAGTTATATGACCAAAATCGATGAAATATCTAATTACTAATAAATTCTTCTAAATTTTTTAAAATTTAAAAAAAGAAAAAAGTTTTTTTTTAATTTTAAAAAACTTCGCCAATTCTCTCCAGAGAAATCCCCGGGGACTCACGACAGGGACTCCCCAGGGATTTCGATATTTTGCGGGGACTCCCCGGGGAGTCGTCGGGGGAGAGTGGATTAGGGAACGATACTTTTGTGGTAAATTTATAAATGCAGCTTATTTCATTTCAATAAAAGATTGATAGAACTTTTTTTTAAGTCTAAAACAAAATTTCGACTATTTCCTGGATCACTATCAAGAAAATTCGTTCGTGGCTAATATTTGGATTATTCTCAATTGACCTCAAACTAATTTTTATTTTATTCATAGTGAAATTCTATCAATTAAAGAGCTTTGTTTATAATTATATTTAAAAAAAATCAATATTGTTATTCTATTCATGTTAAGGATTAAACATGATTATTATTTTTCAAGGAAATTAACTTAAACTTGAGCTACGGTAAATTTAATTTAATATCTAATTTTTAAATAAAACGAATCTTATTTTTCATGGACATTTCAAGTCTAGCCGTTGTTTTACCTATTCATAAATTTATCCTTTTTTTGTTATAAGTGACAATATCTAAATTTATAATTTTGATCAACTTCGAGAAATAATCACTGAAATTAACAACGAAATAAAATAAGTTTTTTTTTAAATTTTGTTTTGATGAATTTTCACAATAACTACATGCAGACAAGAAAAAAACGAACAAAAAAATGCTTTTCAAAAATGAATCACCTTCATTTGGTTGGCTTACAAAAATTCAGCAATAAAATAATTACCGAATTCCACTCACGGTATAAGTTACGCACGCATAGGTAGGCCGTACCGTTCGGCCTGAGCGCGGTTCCAAAAATTACCCATGACCAGAATCGGAATCGTGATTTCGATTGGGTTCTATAGCGCTAAAAATTTTTTCACTCCTTAGCGATTCCTCGTTGAACTTTTTACAGCTACTATTCCTATTCTGAAAGTTTTTAAGAACCTGCCTCCGGTTCGATTCTTGACTCTAGATTTTATGGAAATGTAGACCATTAGTATTCAATCGAAATAGTAGAGCGACTGGGAGAAACAATTTCATAGCGATAAATCAGTGTATTAATCGAGTTTTTGGGGTGAAAAATCAAATTTATCTATTGTAATTGAGTGTTATCGCCGATCATAACTGATATCAGCCTAGTATCATCGACTGGAATCAGTTTTTTAGACGTTCGCTAGCTTTTGTATGAAGAATAGACAATACGTCATTATATTACTTTATGATATGGCATTGCCATTTTACGATTTCTTTTAATACTTCAAGTGCATAAACCATGTTATCACTTTAAATCTACACTCATTCAAGTATTGATAGTTTAAAAATATTAACAATACGTCAAAAAAGAATAAATAACTATTACATCAGCACACCTGTTTTAAATTGATCAACAAACGGCTTGATAAATAATAAGTGATTGGCTTAACTTCAAACAAATTCAAGCAACCCTTAAATTACAAAGGAGTACCACCTGATAGCTGCACTCTTCATTTATCTGGAGTTTTTAAACAAAAATAGTAAGCGCATAAGTAATCCACACGCCCTGGGATAATTTATACCATTAAGCGAAAGAAACCGATTGAGTTTTTTTCCGTTTGAAATTGATTCTTTGGATTTCAATCAATTGTATGTTGAAAGTCGATACTAACTCGATTATCTTTCGAAAAAGCATGCCTCTTGTAATAATATCAGATTGTGCTGCTCCTCATGA